AAATGTCCTGAAAGTTTTTACTGCCAAGAACATATTCTTAAAATCACAGAATGGTTAGAGGTGGAAGGGATGTTAAAAATCATCGAGTTCCAACCCCCCTGCCCTGGGCAGGGACACCTCCCACCACACCAGGTTGCTCCAAGCCCCATCCAGCCTGGCCTTGAACCCCTCCAGGGATGGGGCAGCCACAGCTTCTCTGGGCAACCTGGGCCAGGCTCTCATCACCCTCACAGCAAAGAATTTCTTTCTGGTCTCTAATCTGAATCTCCCCTCTTCCAATTTAAAACCATTACCCCTCGTCCTGTCACTGCACTTCCCGATCAAGAGTCCCTCCCCATCTCTCCTGGAGCCCCTTCAGGTACTGGAAGGCCGTTAGAAGGTCTCCCTGGAACCTTCTCTTCTCCAGGCTGAACGACCCCAACTCTCTGTGCCTGTCCTATTCCTATATATCTGTATGTCACTGATCTTAAAATAAGTCTTCGTGCAGAGGCAAAACAGTCAGAGCCCATCAGTGAGAGGAAACATCTCCATATGGGATTGGAGCATGGGTTCAAGTCCACTCTTGGCAGAGAGTGTACTGTCTAATCCCTTTTGCAAGCTACTGGAAGCAGTTCTTAAGTGAGTAGAATTTGCTATGCCATTGTACAGCTATTCAAAATTTGACTACTTTGAAAGCTAGAATCCTACTTCTTATTTTCTACCTTAACTTCATTCATGGCTAATTCATTCTCATTTGTTCTTGTGCTAATGTTGTCCTTGAGCTTAAACAGCTCTTCTTGCTCCCTTGTGTTTATCTGCGTGTATTTGTGGAGAGCAACCATATTCTTCTCCGAGCTGGATCTTTTCAGGCTAAACAAGCTTTTGTGGTTGGTTTTTTTTCTCCTTTTTGTCATAAGACATTTCCTATAACTCATGATCACCTCTGCAGACCTTTTTAAACAGCTGCAGAATTTGATTAACCTGAAACATGAGTGACCAGAGCTATACAGAATATTCCAGGAAAAGATTTATTTGTTCCTTGTACAAGAGCAGTAATCCTAATTTCCTTTCTTCTGGGAAGTGTTCACTTTGTACAATATCCTATAGTAGTATTTGCCATCTTCATGGCTGCATCTTATCAGTGAAGCGTCATTATCTAATGAGTAACATGCCCCAGGGCCTCTTCCCTTCTTCTCAGTTACTGAATCACTAGTTTGTAATGGAAATCATGTTACTTTTAAATATAAGTACATCTTTTGTTGGTTCTGTTACCCAGGTCTTCACGATGCTGTGTCCTGTATATTTATGATGTCTCTTATCTTTGTCTTCAGCCAATTTCATTAGCACATTGGTAATTCTTGGGTTTTTTAGCCATTAGTGAGAATATTTTAATATTACTTTCAAGATTAATAATGGATTTCAACAAGAATCAATCTCTGTACAGCTTGAGGGTCCCCTTTTCAAAATAACCTGTGATCCTCTACCCTTTTTAGTTTCTTATCCTCCTTACAACTCTGGTATTAATCCTAATCCTCTCCATTTTAACTAGTAACTTCCTACATGGCGTCTATCAAATGCTTAACTACTTCTAATTTGTCTGGACTTCAGTGATCTTCTTAAAGAAGAAGATTGGGTTAGTCTAGCACTAATTCTAATTTGTTCTAAATTGGGAATAGATTTACTTAGGCCTCATACGGCGACTGCTTTGTTTTGGCAATAGTTATTAGTGCTCAGTCTGAGTAGAGAGAATACTGTTTGTGGTTGGTTTTTTTGGTCTTTAAAGGTTGGCCAGTCAATTCTGCAACATTTCAGATTCATTCTGGTTAGTCTTCTTACCAGATACTTGTTCTGCACAGGGATGCTGCCAGAGGCTGCCCGTTGGGTATCTTCAGCTGCTTCTCTTTCCACTGCTTCATCCGTGCATCGTAGCTCTCTGAGACATTAGGCTGCTTTGGTACTTCTTGTTTTAAGGAGGAGTTTCCTCTAGTTAACCCGAGCAAAGGATCATTTACACCTTGTGCCAGTCTCAAGGAGTTGAGAACTGTCATAGCTCTGAAACCAGTACAGGGCATTTAGATCAGAAAATTTAATATATCTTGGTAAGTACTTGGGGCAATTAGTTATGAATTCCGAGTTACTTACAATGGGTGAATAGGTCCCACACTGTAATTGCAGCACAGTGCTTTGTGAGGGAAATGAATTGGGCTTGGATGGGCATTCTGCAGAAAGGAAGTTTTTTGGTTGTTTTATTGAACAGGAAAATGTTTGGTGTGAGTGCTGGAGTCTGCTCAGACGATGAGAGCCCACTGGCTGAAGAGAAAAGGTGGTGGTTGAGTGCTGGAGTCTGCTTTTGAAGGCATTTCCATTTGTCTAGGAAAAAAAACAGTATTCCTCTAATAAATTTTTCTGTTTAGTGTGCTAACTGCAGATTTCCTTCCAGGATAGTTGGCACAGCCCTCTAGCCCAACTCTTCTGCGTGCTTTTTTTGTATGGTACCTAAAATCCCAGAAGAGATCAGGAAGGTGAATGTTAGCACTGTAGATTCTCTTACTGATTATGGAGATCATAATTTTCCAGACTTCTTAATTTTGTTCACCTTGGATGTCACTTTTTCACTCCAGTACAGAATTTTCTATTCCTGATGCTTTGCGTCTCAGTGAAAAATTAGAATCCAGGTGAGCTTTTTGACTTTTCCATGGACTTAGGAAAAAGAGACAAGATACTTAAAGGATGTCAGCTTCATTTTATTGATCTCTAGACAGCTTCCAGCTGTCTCTTCCAGCTTTGTGTTTTATGCATAATGCTAGCACTGGGGATGCCACTGTTCTTGTTGGATACTTACCTGGTGCAAGTTCAGCCAGTAGCATGAGAAATGTAGCTCCTCTTTTCTTCACCACAGATCTTTTAGTCTTGAAGGAGGCTGAATACAGGACTTGAATTTCAGACTTCAGATGTCAAGTGGTTGTGAAATCGAGCATGTTTTTACTTATGGGCACCAAGAGGATCTCTTTACGCTGCTATAGTAAGCGTGTTCACAGAGCTTGCTGTTACTTTGTCCAGAGATTAATGGAGTGCTGTCAGGGATCTCCCTTTGGTTTTGAATACTGTAGCTTAGTATTGTTCTGAGCCCGTAAAAAGTTACCCAGGTGTTTCAAGAAGTTTTCTTGGTAGTTGTTGCTCTTGGAGTATATAAAAAAATGGTGCCTTTTTACCTGTCAAGGAATATCAGTAAACATTCTCCAGTGGGAGTTGTTTTGGAGCAGATCCTGGTCAATGTAATCCAAACAAATCCACTAAAGAACTGGAGTAGCCATGTTGGGTGAAGCAGGGAATTCGTTAAGTTTACAGGCAGAGTCAGAGCCCGTTGTTGGAGGTTGCTGTGTCCTTATGAAGGAGCTTGTATCAGACTCTGAGATATGATGGTAAATCAACTCAGTTTGTTCATTCCTTCTACCAATTCTCATGAAGAACATACTTAAATATTGTCAGATTATGGTTTTAGAAACAGAGACCTTGTGGTTTTCTCTCCTAAAGATAATGAAAGATTTCAAAATCTCATTTTTGGATTTGTGGAATTAGAATCCACAGATCTAACTGTGCTTTATTTTGAGTACTGCTTGGGACAGGGGAGTAAGGTATCTGTTTGGAACCATGAAGTTCTGTATTCTGTATCATAGAATCATAGAATTGTCTGGGTCGGAAGGGACCTTTCAGATCATCTAGTCCAACCATCAACCTAACTGATAAAATCCATCACTAACCCATAGAATCATAGAATTGCCCAGGTCGGAAGGGACCTCCAAAGGTCATCTAGTCCCACCTCCCCACAGTCAGCAGGGACACCCCCAACTAGACCAGGTTGCCCAGGGTCTCGTCGAACCTCTCCTTGAATATCTCCAGGGAAGGGGCCTCAACCACCTCCCTGGGCAACCTGTTCCAGTGCTCCACCACCCTCACAGTGAAGAACCCTCTCCTCATCTCCAGTCTAAATCTGTTCCCCTCCAGCTTGAAGCCATTGCCCCTCGTCCTGTCACCGCAGGCCTTTCTAAACAGGTTCTCCCCAGCCTTCCTGTAGCCTCTTCAAGTACTGGAAGGCTCTAAGCACTATGGCAACCCGGCTTTGAAATCCCTCCAGGGATGGGGCCTCAACCCCTGCCCTGGGCAGCCCATTCCAAGGCTTAAGAACCCTTTTCGTGTAAAAATTGTTCCCAATCTCCAATCTGAACCTCCCCTGGTGCAGCTGGAGGCCGTTTCTTCTTGTCCCATGGCCTGGGACTTGGGAGCAGAGACCGACCCCCCCTGGCTACACCCTCCTTTCAGGGAGTTGGAGAGAGCCAGAAGGTCTCCCCTCAGCCTCCTTTTCTCCAGGCTGAACCCCCCCAGCTCCCTCAGCCTCTCCTCATCAGACTTCTTCTCCAGATCCCTCCCCAGCTCCGTTGCCCTTCTCTGGGCCCGCTCCAGCCCCTCAATGTCTTTTTTGTGGGGAGGGCCCAAATGTAGTGGGAATTCAATTTATTGCTATAATGCATATAGACTCATTAACAGGTTCTGGGCCACAGGGGATATTTTCTTTTGCTGTGGAGCTCATCTCAACTGGGTAATCTCCAGTGCAACTGGCCAAGCCCTCCCGGGTCAGTGACTGACAGATCTAATTCTGCCTTTGTAACCAAGAGCCTGTTAGTTAATGGAGTCATGAATATTGTTACTCAGAGGCAGCCTTCAGTGTATTAAAATGCATTATTCCTGTTCTTTGCTTGATATTTATTAGAAAAGGTGTTATGTCTAATGAATGGAATGTTATCATCAAATAAATACTGTGTGTAGATCATAACTTAGAAGGAATGAAGATGTAAGTAGCTTCAGTCCTGCCTTGCAGTGACAGAGAGGGATGGGTTTAGCTTGTCTGTTTAAATCGTATGTGATGGAAACCCAGAGCAAACGTCCTCTCTGAGGGAAAAGGAAGCATTATGGGTTATCTGATCAGATTCATAAGATCCTTAGTACATATATATTTCATACAGGTCTCAACTTTCCCCCTGCCCCCCATTTCTTCTTACGTGGAAGCAGATGAAAAGGAGAAGCAGCAGTACTGCCTTGCAAGTACCATAGTAGGTTTCCTTTTATAATTATCACTCTTGACATATTTATCCTTTCTTATGGAAGTGAAGATGCAGATATTTAAGAACCCTTCTTGCACAAAAAGCCCAATTTCCGCTCAGTACTTAATTAGCACTTGTTTATGACACGGCATCTGATTTGATTTTCAAAACAAATTGCACAGTAAAGAGGCTGATATTTAAACTGTATAGTAACCACAGCTCCAGCTGTGACTCAAATATTGTAAGCCTTCAGGGGTTGTGTTTAGGCTTAGAAAATAGGAACTCAGGCCTGTAATTAAATGTCCTCTAAAAATCAGCCTTTGTAGGGAAGGGAAGAGGGTACCACTGAATTTGAAATTGACTTGTTCTCAGAAATCATTCTGTTTTTCTAGGCCTTGCTAGGGACCGCAAAAATCAAACGGATTAAAAATTGGAAGAGTAGATTGCTAAAGGGAAAAAAATCAGGTTGCAAAAAAAGGGATGAGCAAAGTAAGGTATTCAGGCTCATGGGCTTCTAGACAATTGCAATATGTATAATGATATCATTTAATAGCTGGGTAATATATAGATTATAAGTTCTGTGGCCACCAAGAAGTCTAAAGAGAAAGTAGGCATTTCATACAGGGTAAAATTGCATTTCAGAACTGTGAATAAGTCTCTGATGATAGTTTTGGAATACGCCATCTGCAGTGATGGAAAGCTCATTTTTAAAGCAAGTCCTCAATAATAAACGTGAATGTCTTGGAAAAGGAAGTTGTCAGGGTCGTATTACAAGTTTAGTGACTCACCGAGATAAAAATGTGAAGTACTCACAAAACAGCATGATAGAAGTTAGCGGTTAGAGTGCTTTCAGAGTTACTTTTTGAAGTGGCTACTGAAAGAGAGGAAAATTACCCTCCCAGTCTGACTCAGCCATGGAAAATGCTGGAGCGGATGCGAAGAGAAAATACGCTTATGAATGATACTGAACCATGAGCCTGAACAGTGTGTGCTCATGAACGTATGAAAATGAGTAGATCTTGCTGGGCAATTAATTGTATCGCTGACAGAATTGCCTTGAATGGATCATAAACATGAAGGATTTTTAGTGAGGATTGATAAAATAGTGAGCTTTCAAACAAGGCAGTTCTCTGTGTCCTGAGTCGTTTAAAGGCTGGGGGAAGAGGGGCAGTTTTATTTTAAGTTACCAGGTGTGTATGAATTCCTCTTCTGTAACGTTGCAGTTGCGTGTCTGTTGTCATTCGGACACTGAAATTCGGAAAGTTTTAACCAGATATACTTATTTAATTGCTTGTCTTTGCTAAAGAAGACATTCCTGGGGATTATTTACATTACGCTTAGGAGAACCACAGAAATTTAAACTTTAGGAGAATGATTATAAAATTTAGCCAGTGGTGAGTCTGTGTACGTTAAATGCTGGTAAGTGAGAGGCCCAGAGATTTTAATTAAATTATTCTTTTCTATCAGTGCTTGAATTTGATATGAATGATGGTTCGCTTGTGCAAATATCCCGCTTTAATGGTGTGAGCAGCAGTATGAGGGTAATACCTCGTACTGGTAAAATTTGCTTCTCTTCTGTATAGTTTATTTTCCTTTTCGATGAGGGTAGGCTTGTCATATGGAGAGGAGACACTTCACTGAGCAAATCTTGCAAGTATGGCCCTGAGAGATGGGTGGTGGGTCTTAGTTTCTCTTTTTTGTATATTTAACTTGTTGGCATTGAAAAATAAATCAAATTTACAGTAGTTGCTAATCTGCTGAAAGTCCTGATTACTTTTATTGCTAATACTCACAGAATAACAGAATGAAATGGGGTTGGAAGGGGCCTCTGGAGATCATCCAGTCCAACCCCCTGCCAGAGCAGGGCCACCCAGAGCAGGTCCCACAGGAACGTGTCCAGGTGGGTTTGAATGTCTCCAGAGAAGGAGACTCCACCACCTCTCTGGGCAGCCTCTGCCAGGGCTCTGCCACCCTCACAGCAAAGAAGTTCCTCCTCATGTTGAGATGGAACTTCTTCTGTTCAAGTGTGTCCCTGTTTCCTCTTGTCCTGTCCCTGGGCACCACTGGAAAAAGACCGGCCCCATCCTCCTGACACCCACCCTTTAAGAGGATGAACTTAGGGGACTTTATTTTGAAGTCACAAAGAAATTGTGCTGCTAAGAGCTGTCTAAATAGAAATACAGTGTTACCTTTGGTATTGGAGACACTTCTGCCTGAGAGTAATCCTGTTGATAGCAGTAGGATATTAATATCCTTATGTATTTGCAGGACCAGGGTCTTCAAATTAAATGGTTTAAACCAGTGTCTTAAATCAATTACTAAAACTACTCTGGACTGATGGGCTTTACAAATGTGAAGCAGGCTGCTGGTCCTAAGAGAAAACTTCACTGTGATCCTTTAATTTGTAGGTTAAGTGACAAAACCAGAATGAAATGAAGTCATTTTTCACAGATTTGTTGTGTAAACCTGGGCTGATCCGAGGCTGGTATTCGGGTCTCTTTACTCCTGACACTGTGATTTTAAAAGGTCATTATTTCTGCTTTTTTTATGTAGGCTTTTCTTTTCTTTTTCTTTTCCCTTGATAAGTATACTGAGCGCGGCTACTTTGAAAAAGCAGCTGAAACTCTTGAGCCAGAAGTAAAATGTGGGTTTCTGTAGTGTTCTCGGTAGATACATAGCACTCCATATAGTTTCTTCCATTTTCAAAGCACGTAGAAATGTCAGCAGTTCCTCTCAGCAAACCTGTGAGGTGGGTTAAATGAGTGTTGTCCTCATTTTACAGTAGTAGAGAGACCAACCACCCATGAAGTTAGTGCTGAACTAAGGATTAGGTCTCGGAGCACGATGCTTCTAGCTGTGTGAGAAGTCCCCTAAAACGTAGTTTGTTAATGCGTTAAGCACTGCAAGTCCAAACACAGCAGGTGAATGCAGTAACCAGATATACTTGACTTTAATTTATCAGCACAATGGTGGTTATTAAAATTCACGTTTAACTGAGATTGCTGGCTGGGACACCAGGGCATAATCTTACTACTGCTTTGAAAGATTTAGGAGGATTTCAGTTCAAACTGTAGAGAAGCAAAAATAACTAATGTTCAAAGAATATGATAAAGTCTTGTATGTGTACATTTCTTTAGAGGCAAGATTTTAGTCTGTTCCAGTTCTTGTTTTAGTTTCAAATTCCAAGGCCAGACTAACCTCGCGTCAAAAGCAGCGTGGCCAGCAGGTCATGGGAGGTGATTCTACCCCTCTGCTCTGCTCTGGTGAGACCCCACCTGGAGTGCTGTGTCCAGCTCTGGAGTCCTCAGCACAGGAAGGACATGGACCTGTTGGAACGGGTCCAGCGGAGGGACATGAAAATGCTCAGGGGGCTGGAGCCCCTCTGCTGTGAAGACAGGCTGAGAGAGCTGGGGGTGTTCAGCCTGGAGAAGAGAAGGCTCCGGGGAGACCTTATAACGGCCTTCCAGTACCTGAAGGGGCTACAGGAGAGATGGGGAGGGACTCTTGGTCAGGGAGTGGAGTCACAGGATGAGGGGTAATGGTTTTAAATTGAAAGAGGGGAGATTGAGATGAGATCCCAGAAAGAAATTCTTTGCTGTGAGGGTGGTGAGAGCCTGGAAGAGGTTGCCCAGAGAAGCTGTGGCTGCCCCATCCCTGGAGGGGTTCAAGGCCAGGCTGGATGGGGCTTGGAGCAACCTGGTCTGGTGGGAGGTGTCCCTGCTTATGGGATGATGATCTTTAGGGTCCCTTCCATTCTATGATTCTAACTCCCCACCATAGCTGGGAAGGTTCCTCATTCAGTGGTGACACATTTTTCCTCTGTAATTTTTAGTGTTACAAGTATCAAGGTAGACACAGTTTGTACGAACTAAACGTTGTGCTGACACAAGAACAACTGGGGGTAAACTCACCTTGAATGGAGCCATTCTGAAAATGACAAAGATTTTTCCAGCCTTCCAGGAGTGGTAGGGACACACTTTGGCTGGTTTGGAAGGGAAGTACAGAGAATTAAGGGATTGTAAAGTAGTTTCTCAGGAGTAAGAAAGATCTCTGGACTTGGTGTCTGCAGATGTTCTGTCTCATCCTGTTTCTTAGATGTCATTTTAATTTCTAAGCCTCTCCTTTTATTTTTTTCTTCAGGGGATGGTGGTGGGAGGAAACAGTTGAATCCACTTGATTTGAGAATATCTTTGAGCTGCAAATGAATGTCGTGACAGGCATTGGTTCATTTTTTTTTATTGCATACTTTTTTCCTACCTGTAAGTTGTGCTGTATATGTTTTGTGCTTCCAGAGCAATTGGATGTCTTGCCTCTTCCTCAACCCAATAAAGCACGAAAACTATAAATGGGGAGGAGATTATATTTGTCTGTCTGTTTGAGACATGATGTAAGGCTGTGTGTGAGCAGAGTTTCCTGTTACCTCTCCAGGGATTTTCATGTTGTCCAATGTCTGGTCTGACCATGTTGAGGATGGTGACTGTAAAAACACTCTCATAGCTTGACTGCTGCTGTTTTGACACCATTTAATTTTATGTAGTGGCAAAAACAATAACGACCATTAGTCTCTGCTGCTGCACCCACCACAGAGGCTGTGCTTATCCAAGTGCATTTATGTGGAAATTTTAAAGAAATACCTATATATATACACTGAGTTGAAATATAAAGCGGTGGAGATTGTAAAAATCATGCTGGCTTTAGCAGAAAAGTGTTCTTAAAGCAGCTGATCTCAGAGGAGTAAACAAGAACTAATCTGGGGACTAAACCTTCAGACGTGCCTTAAAAAAACCCTACATTGTTTAAAACGCTCCAGAATTTAGCCTTAGGTTAGCTAGGTCCCAGTGTAAAAGGAGGTCTCTCTTTATGTCTATTCTCTCCTAGCCCCGAATTCACATGCCAAAAGATGGATTCCAACTTATATCTTCTGGATACCAAGCATGGCTAAAGCAGGTTGGACTGTATTATTGTTATTCATCTCATGTGAGGGCCCGTGTTGGACACCTGTGCTTGTCTCATTAGTGAAGTACATAAATGAGGGTGTAATGAAGTTACAGTGCCATGTTAGCCGATACCCCTCATAGCCATCACTGTTTTGTGTTTATGCATGCTGTGTTTGTATAACATTTTTCTCACTAGTCTTATCAATGTGCACTCCTTGTAAATAAAAGTTCAAAATGCAGTCACCTGAAAGCGAAAAGGGTCAGAGCCTGAAAAGAAATCTGCACCACCAGCTTGAAATCACAGAATTAAAACGGGCCTTCAAACACAAAGCTGCATGGCGGCGGTGCTGGTAATAATGGGGAGGCCACTGGGTTAAAACTCAAGAGAATTGCATCCAGCCTCTAATTCCAATCTGCCTGGGTGAAACAAGTCTGGACACTTCCTCACATCACATAACAATTGTGCAGTTTGACACAGTCTGACACTGTGGGGAGTCCCCACTCGGAAGTGGCCTAGTGCTATATTACTCTGGCTGTTATTAAAGGCCAGGCTTTCGATGTCTCAGCAGTCTGCCTCCAGCAATTGCTGTCAGCTTTTCACTTTTGTGAGTGAAAAATCCCCCTTCAGAAAAAAATAGCTTAATTTACAAATTGCCTGTACAAATCTCTTCTCCCGCGAAGATACGTGTGTGATGAATCCCGCGTCCTTGAGAATACATGGCTTAAAGTTGCTGGTTTTGTGGAAAGCCAGAATGATTGTGTTGTTATGGCAACAAAACCTGAAAATATGAAAACAGCACAGATAAGCTGCATCCTGTTGTCCTGGCAACTGGAGTTGTGAAATGATGAAATGTGGTGGTGGAAGGGATCCACGGTACCGTGAGCCCAACAGAAACAAAGAGCCAAGTCACTTGAGCAGAGTGGGAGAGAATTAAAAACTACAGCAGCAAAACCCCTTCAAACACAAGAGTTTCCTTGCAGGTGCTAACAGGATGGCTTTGATTCTCTCTGGTCTTGTCTCGGTATCTTACCAGTAGTAAGTAGGAACTTATTTGTGCAAGTTGCTTACGGCTGTCAACTTTGATTTAAAGTTTCTCTTCAAGAAGAGGCAGCTCTGGGGAGACCTTCTAACGGCCTTCCAGTACCTGAAGGGGCTCCAGGAGAGATGGGGAGGGACTCTTGGTCAGGGAGGGGAGCCACAGGATGAGGGGTAATGGTTTTAAATTGAAAGAGGGGAGACTGAGATGAGATCCCAGAAAGAAATTCTTTGCTGTGAGGGTGGTGAGAGCCTGGAAGAGGTTGCCCAGAGAAGCTGTGGCTGCCCCATCCCTGGAGGGGTTCAAGGCCAGGCTGGATGGGGCTTGGAGCAACCTGGTCTGGTGGGAGGGGTCCCTGCCCAGGGCAGGGGATTGGAACTGGATGATCTTTAAGGTCCCTTCCACCTCTAACCACTCTATGATTCTGTGAATTTCCATTGGCTTCTGCAAAACCAAGAAGAGCTTGAACACCTGGAAGAAGATGGGCATCGAGTCCTGTATTACATTTGCAAACCCATTTCTTTGGGTGAGTGATGTGTTGCAAAGGTGAAGTGATGCTTTGGATCTTCTCCCTGAGATCATTTCTCTGTCTTCCTCCAACTCCACACTGGTGAAGGTCGGCTGGGACCTTGAAGCTGATGTTTTCTTGATTTAAACTTTGCTGAGCTGGAGGCAAGGTGTCTCCGAGGAACCTCAACTCTGCAATTATCGTCTCATAGAGCTCAAGTTCGTTGACCTATGGGTCATGGTATCAGTTTCTATTTCTTATGTGGTAGGTTGGGAGAACAATAGGAAGGGGATTGTGTGGCTGCTCTGTTTTTCTTTTACTTCTGAGGCAAACAGACCTGCATCTGTTCTTGCTGTGTTATATTACCAATGCTCCAGTGCAGGTGCGATATATGCTTTTTTAACTCTGAAAAATATCGAGGAGAAGAAAACCCAAAGTGCTCAGTTAGTGAGTTTTCCAAGAAGGCTTTCACATTAGGCAACCTCAAATAATAGAAGAAATTACACTTTTTAAAAGAATATCTTTGTTGTGTGGCTGTTTTCCTTTTGATTTTTAGTTTACTGTGATTGGTTCTGAAGTCTTTATCTTAATTCCTCTTACTCCTCCTTGGTCCAAGGAAAAGTTATAAACCTGAGCTTGTGTCATCAGCAGGTGCTGTCATGGAAATAGCTTTCTATTCCCATTTCAGTGCTGTGACTTCACCCCAGGAAGGAGATGGGTAAGGGAGTTGATATAAAGAATGGAAACTTTTGATCAAAAGAAAGAGTTCTCATGAGAACCAGAGAGGTGACATTTTTTTCACGTGAGACTGATTTGGTGTAAGGTCTATCTGTATCTGTAGGATTCTTTAAAACCATATATTGGGAAAAAAAGCCATTTTGGATATATTTTTAAGTAGTAGTCTACATGTGCATCCAGGTGGAATGGTGCTTGTGCATGAGGTTCATCCTCCTGGTGTCTGTGTTTTTAACAGGATCCTAACATAGTGATTTTTTATTTTTTTTTCCCCTCAGCATAGCTAAGTATTGATCTGCTGCCTGGCTTATACAGAATGGGAGAAGTATCCCAGTAACACATTGTATTAATGGGGGATAAAAGCACTTTATATTACAGATGAGGTGGAGGAAGATGGAGTTCTGCAAGACTGGACACATACTATAAATATCCATAAAACTGACAATTTTATCTAAAACCAGTGCTGGTTGGATTTGCGTATTTTCAGCCTACTTAAACTGGAGATAATAGTGGAACACTACCTGAGCATGGGTCGCCCACACTGATGCCATTACCCTCTGCCCTTTAATGGCAGGTTTTTATATTTAATGTCGCTGTACAGCAGTGGAGAGCTGCATGGTGTTCCTTTGTGGGCTGGAGGAAATACAACACCAATGGCCAGAAATACATGTTGCTTTGAGAATAGCATTTGAAGTAACCTGCAAAGCTGTCTTTAGCTGTCTCCTGTGAGTTTCTCTTTCACACAAAGGCAGTTACAGAATTCCACAACGATATGGGGTTGGAAGGGACCTCTGGAGGTCATCAAGTCCAACCCCCTGCCAAAGCAGGTCCACCCAGAGCAGGTCCCACAGGAACGTGTCCAGGTGGGGTTTGAATGTCTCCAGAGAAGGAGACTCCACCACCTCTCTGGGCAGCCTCTGCCAGGGCTCTGCCACCCTCACAGGAAGAAGTTCCTTGTCATGTTGAGATGGAACTTCTTATGTTGAAGTTTGTGCCCATTCCCTCTTGTCCTGTCCCTGGGCACCACTGAGAAAAGCCTGTCCCCATCCTCCTGACACCCACCCTTGAAGTATTCATAGGCGTTGATCAGATGCCTGTCAAGACCTACAGTGTTTATAGTGATAGTCACAGTGATCAGAAACAACTACAGTTAATTTATTCAGCCTTGATCTTCATGTAAGCCTTTCTTTGAATGGCAGCGTTGTGCTGCTGGTGGTCTCTAACATCCCATCACCTCCATGGTGACCCTTTGAAGACAAGCTGTGATTGACTTCTGGGGGGAGAAAGGGAAGAATGCTGGCGTATAAATATGATCAATAGACATGACATTCCAATCCCTATATTATATTGACATCTCCTATGATTTAAGCCAAGCTGTGAAATTGGGCAAAATTAAGCTCTTAATTAGCTGAAACACTTAAAAAACATTATTTTGATTACAGAAACGGGGCAGTTAAAGTATCGTTTTAGGTGGCTTGTGAAACATGGTAATTCAGAGTTAAAGCTAATACCATTGTGAGCAAGAATGCATCACGTTGGATATGTAATGTAATGCACTCATCTGAGCCTTTCTGCCTCCCACTGTCTTTTGGAGTAGAATTTTTAGAGTCGAGTTATAAACCTGTAAATGTGTTTTATGCTGGAAATTCTCAGTGCTACCTTAACTAGATTGGTACCAGCAAAGACCAGTATAATCAAAATAAGGCATTTCAGATATTAATGGGCTGCACTTCAGTCAAGTCAGTTGGAAAAGAGAATATTAAAACCAGGGCTGTGGTGAAAACAGGTTTCTTTCTCTAGAATTGCACTTTCCTAGGAGAAAAATGCAATGATTATGGAAATATTTTGGTTTTGTAATTTTGTCATTTAGCATCTCCTCCTTAAGTTCTAAAACATGTATTCTATTTTCAGTGGATCCATATGCTTTTTAACGTTCAAATACTAATTTCTTGGGTGGAAAATAAAAATAAGCTTTCTTTCTGCAGTTTGTTATTAATACTTGACACTTATGTAGTACTTTGAGAATGCAAAGTGCTGTGTAGACACATCAGTTATTCTTGAAACACTTTTGGGTGGTAGGTGCATAACAACAATAATCCTGAGAGATTTTATGGAATTAAATAAAACTAGAGGTGAGGAAAAATCTAGTGAAGCCTCCATTTCATTCCTCCACTGATGCAGGTTTCTTCTCTATGGTTTGTGTGATGGAAATCTAGGCTGAAGGTGTAGAAGTGTCCCAAATGAAGAGGTTTCAACCCATTTTCTGGTAGGGTTGAGTACTTTTTTAAAACCTCATAGTTTTTCAGGTTCAGTTTGTATATTGCTCTTTCTGCGTTTTATTCTAGAGGTGATGATTCACCGTTCTCTTCTTGGCTTGCTGCTGTTTCAGTTTTTTGGTGATTATACATCAGAGCTTCATAATTAAGGACACCCTCAGTCTCTGACCCCTCTCTCGGGCAGGGTAGTTCTGTCCTCGCTGTGCGGATGTGGAGCTGTGATGCCACGTCACTCTGTCCAAACCCATGCAGTGTGCCCGTGTCAAAGAATTAAATTTATCTCTCATGGCATAATAAGATTTTAAATTGTTTGGAATTGCTGCAAAATCAGGCTGTGGACATGAAGGAGCTTAATAGTAACTGTGTTTTCTTGCTTACGAAAGAGCCTCATGCTCTTGGTCTTGTAAGAGCTCCGTTTTAAGCCTTCAGATAGTTTCATATTTTAGACTTTGGT